TTTGATTGAATGAATTCCAATCAATAGTCGCCTTTGTGCGATGAGGCTACATGGCTCTTGTAAAATTAGCAGACGTCGAGTCGAAAAGCGTGCTCTCTTCGTGATCTTTGCCTACGCGCCCGCTGACTGTAGCTCGGACACCGTAAAGAATCAGTTCTACCAGAACCTTCATGAGCTGCTTCTATGGGCTTCTAAAACAGACATCAGATAGTACTAAGTAATGTGCGCAGCTTAAGATATAAGGTGTACGAGCCAGGTCTGTTTGCAGATGGGTCTCATCCCGATATAGTCGGATTCACTGAAACGTGGCTGTCTCAGGACATCAAGGATGGTGAAGTACATCTACCTGGTTACGCACTAGTTAGATGCGAATGCTCTGCTGGCCGACAGGGAGGAGGCTTCGCTCATTATTTCAGTCGGCAGACAAAACTGTTAAAGCTCTGTCGGCTGTGATTAGCACATCCTCGGTTCAGGTTACAGTTGTAATTTTTTATGGAAGCCCTGGGAGCGTATCCAAAGTGGTGCTTGACTTCATTCGCTCCCAGTCCGCAAACAGGTGTTTGGTGATGGGCGACTTCAAGATACCGGAGGTTTGCAGGGCAGATCTTTCTTGCAACTCAGCGTCAAGCACATTTGGCGCTGATTTACTTGAGCTTACGCTCCCAGTACCGTTGCGTCAGTTCGTTGATCTCCCCACTAGGTACATGGACGCCCAAGTACCGCCTATCTTAGACTCGTATTTGCTAAGTTACTCGATTTTGTTGGTGACATTACTTATGGACCTCCACTGGGTTCCAGTGGTCATGTTTGTTTGCTCTTCAGTTGTACTCTCTCTAGACGCTGCCAGAGTACTGTCGAATCTCTCCCGAACATATAGCATGAAGACTATCAATCAATGAGAGCCAAGGGTTCGGGTTCCCATTGTGAGATCTCAGGCGCTGATACTGTCCAGGTTGCCTGGGATAAATTTAAGTCCTACCTCACAGAGATCGCTGCTCCCTTCATCTCAGTCACAAGTAGGAAGGAAGTACGAGCACAGCCGCGCTGGATAGATTCCACTGGCATGCATCTGCTCACAAAGAGGTCTGAATGTTGGCGGACATACCGAGATGCTCCATCCACCGATACTTATGACAGGTACCGTAAGACTAGAATTAGGTGTAAGCAACACCTAAGGAATGTTCGGTTCAAGTTCGAGAAAGGGTTAGCAGACGAAGGTTCAGAGAATTCAAAAAGATTCTTCGTATATGCCAAAATGCGCTGCGGTTCGAACATGTCAATTCCAGTGTTGATGCCTGATGACGGTACTCACGTTCATATGGACTATGACAAGACCTGCTTACTTATTGGGCAATATGCAGCAGCGTTTGTAAGGGAAACCACTTGGACAGGCGTTGCGCTAGTTGTAATGGTCGCAGAGGGTTTGCGACTAGCTGAATTTATTGTAGCGGAGACGGAAGTTCGCAGGCTGCTACAAGGGCTGAACCCTTCTAAGGCCTCTGGGCCTGATTAAATTCACCCGGAACTGTTGCATGAGTTGGCTGCGGAACTAACTGGACCGCTCACTATGATGTTTCAGAAATCGCCTGACAGCTGTGACTTACCTTCCGAATGGAAGGAAGCTGTCATCTGTCCCATCTGCAAAAATGGGGACGAGTGTGCCTGCAAAGTGCAGACCAGTTAGTCTGACGAGTGTAATAGTCAAACCCCTCGAGGAACTGGTGAATTATTGGAGTCATCTGAGCATATTCAATCTACTTAGCAATGTACAACACGGATTCCGGAAGGGATTTTCGTGTCTGACGAATCTATTGATGGCTCGCGAAAATTGGGCGGATGCAGTGGATAACGTCCACGTAGAGGACGTGCTATTCGTCGATTTTGACAAGGTACCCCATTCGAAGTTCGCGCAAAAGCTGACCTCCTATCTCTCTGCACCCTTCATTGGGTCTGCCTTCTTGGATTGTAGAGAACAGTGTACGGGTAGCTCGTGGCCTATCGTTTAGGCAGTCTGTCCTCAGTGGTGTGCCGCAGGGCTTGGTCCTTAGACCGCTGCTGTTCTCTATCTATGTGAATGACCTACCCGCGGAGCTTGATGTACCATCGCTGCTATTTGCTGATGACCTGAAGCTGTGCAACATTGTCGATGTTGCTCGGGGGTTCCGAAACTATGTAGCGAGCCATGGATAAGCTTTGGGACGGGTCTACTTTATGGTTACTGCCCATAAATCAGACAAAGTGCTCCGTTCAACGAATTGAAGGAAGTTGTCCTCCTGAGAAGTACTTGGTCGGTGAGGCCGATTTCAACGGTGTATCTAGCCAGGTTAATGTAGGCGTCGTACATTCTTGAGCTTTACACTCCGGCGACAACTGGAAGAAGGCCGCAAGCAGAGGTTTCCGCATGTTGTGGTTAATACGACGTTCTTTCGGAGTCTTGACGGGCGGCATCTTTACGAGACTGTTCTCGACTTTCGTTCGGCCTCATCTGGAATACTACGTCCAAGCTTGTCCGACCTGCCTCGTCCGGGACAAAATGGAGATAGAGGGGGTTTTACGGGTGGGTACTAAGTTAGTCGATGGATTACGGGGACGGAGGTACCCCGAGCGTCTACTTAGTTTGGGAATGCATTCAATGCACAACCGAAAGCCTAGATGAGACCTAATCCTAACCTACCGTATCTTAACTGGGAAGGCTGGTCCAGATTTATCTTGGTTATTCGGTCCCGCTAGATTGTCTTTGCTACGCGGTCATGCCTGGAAGCTGGACAAACCGCGGTCAGATCGGATTAGGGCGGGAATCCGGCTGTCACGCCGTCATCGAGCGCTAGAACATGCTTCCGGAAAGCGTTATCAGAGAATCTACGGTTAAAGGGTTAGAGCGGCAACTTGACGCATCTGGGTGGCAACACGAAATCTTTCCCTTTTCCTGAATAACTCACATCTTCATACTGCGACGTACTTTTCTCTACTTTTCTGCATGCACTGGTAGTATTTTCTTAATTTAAGTGCACTTCCTTATATTGTAACTTTGATTTAGCTTTCTACCCTTTGCTTAATTCACGTGATTGCCACATCAGGGACTGCTAGGGCAGGAAACGTGGGCATTAACTGGTTGGCTATGGTGCGATACGGGTGTTCCGCTTCACAGCCATCAAGAACTCTGAGCACTTCATCCATTCCTGGCTAAACGATCCATTCAAGAGAGAACTCACACGGGATTCTCCTATCGTTACAGTCCCACTCGAACTTGTACTTGAACTACTCAGTGGAAACTTCGCTGCTAAGTAACTGTTTGCCTGCAAACTACACCTCAATGGAGCAAGTCGAAATCAGCCCTGCGGTAGTTAAGATATTCTTCGAATTGGACCCGAACTCCTCCGCAGACCCGGAGGGACCAAATCCCACATTCCTCAAGACGATAGTTAAGTGCATCGCCACTCACATCTGCCCAAACACAAGAAAAACCACCAACGCAAACTACCGACCGATATGCTTGACACCAATCAATTACGAGACAATGGAAAGAACAATCAAACGCGCCCTCCAGCTACACCGTGAGAACTTGAACGTTTTCTTTTATGCTCAAAGTGGCATCCAGAGAGCAGGTCCTTACATCTCCAACTTATTATTTGCCAGAGAAACATGGACAGAAGCTATAGATGACTTGAACTTCACTGATTTCAATAAAGCATTTGACAAACATCCACACGAACGGCTGCTATTCAAACTCTAGGAAATTGGTACCACAGGAAATCTCCTTTGGATTGCCGATTTCCTAAGTGATCGGACAATGCGCGTCAAAGTGAACCAAAGCTCCTCCGTTGCTGTGCTTATGACTAGTGGCATTTCCAATGATCTGTGCTTGGATCAGAAATCTTTAATTGTACGTCAACGACTTTCTGAGTGGACTTCAAACAGAATGCTTAATCTACGCCGGTGACTTCAAGCAATGACCAACAGTGTCCAGTGTCCAGATGCTGACAGAGTGTAAGGGGATCTAGACCAGCTGCAAGACCGGTCCATCAAGTGGCGATTACTAGTAAACCGGGATTAATGCACTGTTCTCCTATCAGGTAATACTGATCCGTACGGTGCATACCATGTTGGTGGGCTTCTCCTAAGGAATACCTCTCACAAAAGAGATTACGGGGTTTCCATGCCTTCTGACCTTAGAACATGCCAGGACACGTTGGTGGCCAATGGAAGATCATTTGTTCGAATGAATCCTAAGATTTTTCGACCTTACTTCACCTCATACGTCCATCTAACTTTAGAATATGGTCTGCCAACTACCAAAACGCTTCCTAAGTTTAAATGCGCTCTGCTGGGAAAGGTTCAGGGGCGTACCGTTCTGGGGTTTAGTGATCGATACCCTACAAAATAGCAGAATTTGTTCTCCATGAAGTTCCGTCGTCGGGGGGGAGAGGGAATTCATCTACAGTAATCGCTTTCGCCGAGGATTATTCGGAAGTTAATCCAACCCAACGCCGACCGCTCCACAGGTCACACATGGAAACTGTTTAAAGCAAGAAGACATCGAATTCGCATGGATGTCACCCTGTACCTTTAGTCGTGAACGACTTTAAAGGCTTACCGATGGAAATTGTGGACGCCCCATCGAAAAAGTTGTAAGCGGCTGCCTGAAAACCATAAGATGAGAATGCTGGGATATTGCTGCGGTCACTACAATTGCGATGAACCCCTGAGGAAAGCCGTAACGCAACGACACGCATTAAACCCAGAATGATTCGGAATCGATGAAGTTAACAACAGTTTTCCATCCTAACCAATACAAATGAACTCCAACGCAGACAGAATGTTCCGCGACTGGCGTGCAAAGTCGTAAACTTAGGGGAGTGAGGAGCCTGGCAAAATAGTTTCCAGAACTGGAATGAACGCAAAGCATAGAAGCTGCCCTATCGTGAGATAGCACCGTTACGGCTTACAGCTGACACATTATATTATTTATTCTAAAGGGAGAAACTGCGATGATTACTCACCCTTGATATCGCGATGTATCTTGTTCTGGCTGTGTAAGTAATCCAATCCCTTAAGGATTTCCCGGACAATGGTTGGAATGTAAACTTCTGGGATAGGGCCCGGTTTCATAAGATCCAAAGCAGACCCGCCACCAAGGTACTCCATGATGATCCACAGAGTGGTGTCCTTCAAGTACGACCCGTAGTACCTTGTAATCTGAGGACTGTTGCACTGAGACAACACTAATATTTCTTGTTGGATATCCTCGATTTCATCTTCTGCTGCCTCAAGATATATGAGCTTTATTGCAACAACCTCCCTCGTCTTTTTGTTCATTCCTTTGAAAACTTCCCCGAATGAACCCCTGCCGATCCTTTCTTGGACATCGTAGATTGTCTCAGGATCAGCGTTCTACATAACCGCTTATAACATATAACGTGTTGAGAAACTTACAGACACTTTGATCTGGACAGAACTGCGGTTGAGCATAGCTTAAAGGACGTAAATATACCATGCGTCACGCTCGAACGGAAATAAGGCAGTTTTGTAAGACTTATTCCCTAACACTAGTACCCCTTAGGGATCATAGAATTCTTCTTGTTTGACAGTTTACAGTAGTGCGTAGGTATACACAACCGAGCGGTTCCGGTGCTTTTCCCGGCAAGTGTTTGGAGGAATCAACCAATGGGAAACCGAACCGCCCAGCTCGCGGACCTCGAACGAAGTTATCGCGGACTTATTGTTTGGGTACAGGTGGACCGTCGATACCTAGTGAAGAGCTGAAGCATTTCAGTATAAAATTTTAATGGTATATATGTAACAATTATATTATAATCAGGAACTACGCCTGCTTTGTTAATCTGCACTAATAGGCCCATTCACTACCGCGCTTTTTATATCTACAACCATGGTGGACGAATGAGTCAGTCCGTCAGTGATCTAGGGGTAAATACCACGATTTCTCAGTGGCGCTGGTTAATGTGAAACAATTTCAATGAGAAGCTGCCAACTCCTTTCACCGCGCAAAAGTGGTCATAGCGGGTGCATACAAAAGGCCCATTGGCGTTGCTGAAGTTTCAATGCAGTTATAAGTACCGATGCCGTACTTAAATGCTCGGTTCTCAACTGTCATAAACGCAGGTGCTTGGTATTATTTCGTTCGTAAATACGGTATCCACACTTTGGAAAACGATGGCTGCATTCCAGTACGTGGCAAGCACATCGGAACAACGCAACTCTTCCAGAATTGCGCCGCCTGTGGACTTGCTGATCTGCTTGTTGAGCATGAGCGAAACCTAGGAGTGGACATCAGAATGCCAGACTTCCTTCGAGCGGCTCAACTAACTGCTGGCTTCAGACCTACTTCTGACTCATCATGGCCCGGCCCAAGCAATTGTCCACGTACAAAATGATGCTCTCAGTACTCGCATACCGTCATCACTTGACCTATTGTTTATACTAAGCAACCATGAATCCAGTTGATCGTCGCCCAACTGAGGTTTGTGCTACGCAAGTGTACAGCTTCCGTTTCCGCAATTTATAAAAATTTTTAAGTGTTCCTTCTTGAGCGGGTCGTCGATCCAGGAGTTGATAGGGGTGCTCCGACTTCTTGATGGGTCTAAAAGGAAAACACCCGAAAAACACCCTGGTCCACCAATTTAATGCCCACGTTCCTAACATTAGCTGTCCCAGCTGTGTCAGTTACGTGAAGTAAGTAAGAGAGGAAGGAGAATCGAAGGTAAGGGAGTAGGGGAAATCAGTTAAAAGAAGAGAATAATACCAATGACGAGGAAAAGCAAAGAAAATAGAATCGAAGTATGAAGATGGGAATTTGTCAGGAAAACGGAAAGGTTTCGTGTTGCCACCCAAGAGCATCTAGTTGACGCTCAAACCCCTTAACCGTAGCTTCCTTGACAACATTTTCAGGAAGCAGGTTCCAGCGCTCGATGACTCGACGCGATAAGCGTGTCTCCGCTCTAACTCGATCGGACCGCGGCTTGTCCAGCTTCATACAATGCCCGCGGAGACCAGATAATCTAGCAGGACTAAATAGACAGGACAAACCAGGGCCAGCCTTCCCCGTCAAAATACAGTAGGTTAGGGTTAAGTCCCCTCTAATCCTTCGATAGTGCATTGACGGCATTTCCTAACCAAGTAGGCGTCCGCGGCACATTTGCCCTCGTAATCCCTTGACCAAGCTAGCATCAACACGCAACACCCTTTCTAGTGCATTTTGTCCCGGACAAGGCAGGGTGGACAGGCCTGGACGCAATATTCTAGGTGGGGACGCACAAACGCTGAGAATAGCTTCACAATTATATTAGGTGTTTGGGTCCTAGAAGAAGGACGATTAAACCAAAACATCCGTAACCGTTTACTAGCCGCCTTCTAGTTGTCTCCAGAGTGTAATGTGGAACAGTGGACGACACCTAGATCAACCTGATGAGTCACGTGATGGAGTACAGTCACGGCACATGACTTCTGGATGAATCAGACGCTCCGATTATCCAGAGCCCGTTGAAGAGCCATAGGACCTCCAGGGATATCAACAATATTCCAGAGCTTTAGGTCATCAGCAAGTAAAAGCAATTGTACCTCGGGCTCCTCCGGCAAGTCATTCACGTAGACTGAGAACGGCAGCGGACCTAGGACAGAGCCTGGCGGAAAGCCGCTAAGTACAGCTTGTCGAAACGCACTAGACCAGCTATTCCATACGACCTCAACTTCAGCGAGAGTTGCGAATGGGGGACAGTGTCTGGCTTCTAACAATTACACGCATTGTAACGTAGCTGTTACGCGACATAATTGCTTGAAATTTTGATCATGCCTGAGTTGGTGTGCCTCGATGCATCCGGGAAAAAAATATTTGTACACCTATAGAGGTTATGCCTGCGAGAGTTAAGATCAAGTTGTAAACAAACCCCCTGCTCTTGTATGGAGAGTGCAAATAAATAACTAAACAGTTCATTCCCGTGTGCATCAAGGCATACTACATCAGACACGATCAAAAATTTTACAGCAGTAATGTTGCACAGCAGCTAGTTAGCGCTGCCTGCGATTTTTAGTTGGTGCGGAATGGGGTTCTGATGCGGAACAATATCATTAGTGCCGTGACGAAACGCTGGGGTCACGTAGGTGTAAGGCGGTGTTCAATATTAAAGGCGTGAAAGTGGTGACGGAAAGTCTGGATAAGGAATTATTCATATTGTTTACGCAACAATGTGCCGAATTTTGACTATGATTAATTTGCCGGTGTGAATTTAATTTCTTATTTTCAGATACGTATATATATATATATATATATATCATATTAGCCGTCGCAACGACACTGGACCTTAACGTGGTGCGACGGCTGACATAAAGCTGACCCATCGAGCTACCGCCGGCCGTGCCTCCGAGCCCCTTGAGACCTAGGCCTACTAGCTTGTTCAATGGTAAGATATCAGACCAACTACGTCGCTTGTTCCTCCAGCTGGAGCCATGAAGTCGGAGAACGTTCATCTCTGTAAAACCAAATCATTTCCACCGCCCCATCGTCTTGCGGACAGGCTTTTGAGCCCATAGCTTTGTCTGATGACCCTAATCGTCTCGCTGTCTGGGTATGGGCGCCTTGGCATTCTCGGCCTACATACAACCACCACAATTTCCCCAAACGTTAAGTACCTGCTGCATCTGCCGTCGCGCAGCTCATCAGGGTCGCCTCCGCTATTACATAAAGCAGGCGGATAAGCGAAACTATGCCACTGATAGCGCCTTCCTCCTTTAGTTTCCGCCGGTGTCCCTTACTCCCCTCTTAAGCCCATTAATAGCCTCACTTCTATAGTCCACAGCTTAATTGCAAGCAACCATAGTGCCAGTGGCGTCAAAACCTTTGCACTACCTACCTGCACCATGCACTGGTCGCAAATCAGCAACAGTCTCTTGTGAGGCCAGGCTGACCCGTTTCACTGGCGCACTTAACGTTCGTACCCTAAAGACAGATAGTTCAACAGGCGGCACACGCGCGCACCTTCTAGTGCTGGTATCGACATCTGATTGGCATTCGAAACCAGGGTAAACGACTCTCATGGACTTGTTGGCTTGACTACACGCGGCTTCTCCTTTCGCTATTGGTGACATGCATCGAAAGACACTGATGTTTTCAGCATCTGGTCAAGCTGGGATAGATATCATACTCAGTTCGAAGGCTGTGTCATTGTTGGTAAATTGGATTAGGTGAACGTCCGTCTATATGCAGCCCGTTTCGTGACAGAGACCAAGTAGTTACTCGTATAAGTATGAAAACCCGTTTGTTTATGGTTTCGGTTTACGCTCCTGCTGTGTGCAGTTCTGATGCTGTCGTGGACAGATTCTACAACGAATCAAATAGGCTACTACGCAACGCTACCAGTTCAGAAATCCTAATAATTGCAGGAGATATGAATACAAACGTTGGACATATGAGTCTTAATTAGCTTTGGTAGGGGGTTATGGGTTTAACTCCGATGCTACGGCCAATGGCGAGCGGCAGTTACAGCTGTGTGCCGAGCATCAGCTGTTACTTAGTATTACCGGTTTTAGACACCGTGTGCGCCGAAGTGCCACTTGGTGTCCTGTAACTGGCCAGCGTTGGGCCAAGATATTTCACGTTGCCTTATGTTACAGATGGCGCGGTTCCATCCTGGATTGTCGCTGGTTCTGGAGTACTTGCTGCGACTCTGATCATGCCTTGGTACGCTGACGTTTTTCTATGACTTTTACTGGGTGGCGTACCATGCGCCTTTTGATTAACAACTGAGAAGTTATTTTAGCCCGCCATCAGGCAAGCCCACCGGGATACACTGCATACTGAACTCTCGCTTCCGTGTCTTAATGACACTGAGCTGCAGTAGCGCAGGATCTCGGTCGATACGCGCGGTGCAGGAGCACCTGCTTGTGGTACTAGCAACCGGCAGCACCAAGTTACTAAATATCTCCGGGGTCGGTGAGCCAGTTGGCATCCAGAAGGACCTCCCAGCTGACTCTAAGCACTGTTTGACCAGGCGAACTATTATGAGCGAAATAAAGCGAGGCATACTTGGTGCCAACGAAGCCTGGTGGACCAGTCGGCTAAAGTAACGGAGGAATGGAGAGCAGTAAGGGATGTTTGCAAACTCCTCCAGATGCTCTGCACTAATGATCCCAGTAAAACTAGTGTCAATGAAACAACCAGAGAGAGCAAGAGTACTCTGCCTCACAATAATTTACGCCGTATAGCTTGTTATGCGGAGCACTTGTAGGAGTAGTTCACTTGGATCCCTGCTTCGAGAACGCTTCCTGTTGGGGGACGCAGATAAGCCATGGACGGTTAGTTTGGAGGCTCCATCGGAGGCGGAGGTTCGAAACGCGATCACCTCCTTCAGTACTTTTCGTGCTACTAGCCCCGATTCCCTGCTACCTTCCATATATAAGGATGGCGGTGAGGTCCTATGTAAAGCACTTATCTCCCTATTCGAGCAGGTAAGGAAGGAAGAAACCATGCCGGATAAATCGAAGGAATCCATCATAGCGGCAAAATAACAATTAACTAAGTGGTATGTTTCTCCATAGCTTAAGAGACAAAGGTGAACACTAACGATCATGAGAAAGCAGAATTATACGTACAAAAGTTAATAAAACAAAAATATTTGTAATGCGGACCAGACGTTTGGGTAGAACAAATGTTCCACCCGTCACTTCAGCGATGTAGAAAGTTATTGTTTGCCAGCTGTCAAGGTCACGTAGATA